CTTACAGCTTTTTTTTGGGCTGTACAAAAGGATACTCTGAAATGGGAGCAGTCTTCTGAACCATCAAGGCTTTTACAGTTTTTGCATCAGTCGTATTACTCAGGATGTAAGTTAATGAACATCTTTTTTTTATGCAATCCAGTTCATCAAAGTGTGGAATTGAAAAGTTGGCAAAATCACAGTTATCTAGGTCCATCTGTAGAACGTGTTCAATGGCTAGTATCATAAAAATACCACAGTCGTATGCATTGTTCTGAATTGGACCTTGAACAACATTGAAATCATATCTATCTTTTGAAAAGAAATTGATTACTTTGTTAGCAATGAGCTTACTTTGTTCAATGTTTTTTGATGGTATAGAATCATAGTAATAAAAGGTATTTATGTCATGTTTAAATACTAGCAGACTCCAATGAGAACCACCTTCACTCTCAAAGTTAATTGAGTCATTTACTGGGATAATGAGAATATTTTTACTTGGCAAATTCAGTGGCTGTAAAAGGTGATCTGTATTTATCAAGGATTTCAATGCATGACTGATAAGTGGGTTCAGTATATAAGCATTCACATTCGACCCTGATATATGATTATTTAATTGATCAAAATACTTGTTTAAATGTTCATCAGTGAGCCATACAGGTTGGATCAAATTATTTTGCAACTTGCTACTCAAATTCTGTAATGAAACTGAAAGCAATTTAATTTGTTCATTTGCTTCCAATAATTTAGCCTGCAGTTCATGGTGTTTAATTTTTATCTCCTCTATTTCCTTGTCATGTATAGTAGAAGTTAAGTTCGCTGTGGTTTCATTTACCTCAGTCACAGGTTCACTAATTACTTCTTTAATGTCAGTTTTTGAGTTATTTTTTGTGACATTAATCTTAGAGAGGTCAGCTTTTTTCCTGGTAATTGATCTTGTTCTAATTAGAGGACTTTCCTTTGATTTGTTTAGTACATTACCGGTAGTACTTTTATTTGCAAGAACCATTTTAGGCTTAAAATATTTGCAATTCTAAGACATATATTTTAATTAGCTCAAACGTTTAAAGGCTATATTTTATCAGGCTACTCAGTTCACCTGACGATAAAACATCTTTTTATGAAGGATATCAACCAAATCAAATCAAACAATCAAAAACAACAACGTATTTTTAGTTCTCAAAACGTAAACAACAATAAAAATCCTTGTAGTAATAATGTAGTAAAATAAATAATAATAATAATGGGTTAAATTAATAAAGGTCCTGGAAAAATGTAAACAAACGACACAAGTCCACCTGAGTTACTTGGAGAACCTGACCTTGTCCCCCTTGTCATAGGTCTAGAATAGTCTAGAATAGTTCTTGTCATAGGTCTACCTAATGTAAGGTATCTGGACAGGAATGATGGTGATCGCCGGGGTTAAATTCTCATCTCCTTTCTGGCAATAGAGATACAAGCAATCTACTGAGTTTATAACAAGTAGAAATTTTATCATTCACCGAAATAGGAAATACAGGAGGCCTATGATTAGGCCTACTTTTTAAATCTTGAGAAAACTAACTAGCCTACCCACATTTCCTTCAAAATAGCTCAATCAAGGGTAAAAAAAGAACCTTTGATTTTGGTAAATACTGAGCCACTTGAGCTTGTCACATGCACAACATTTCTTGGTCTTAGAATAGAGATAACAACTTGAATTGGAATGAGCATGTAGACGACATTTTAGCTAAAGCAGGTACTGGTATGCACTAAGAAGAATGGCACCTAGATATGCAGTGAATCCACTCTTATATTTACTATCAGTGGCGTAGCGACAATAGAGCGAGTAGAGCAGTCGCTCCAGGACGGCAAGCACTAGGGGGCGGGGGCGGCGCCATACTAGGATTTTTTTTAACGATGTTGTCAAGCGTGATATGGGCGGAAGGAAGGTGAAGGGTAGTTTTAACTATTGTCACAACGAGCGCTAAGTGCTGCGATCTGTCAACACAATTATTATGAGATCACTGATCAGTCAAATGAGTAAGTAGTGATTCGTGAAGTTATGTCTATCGTGCCGCGCGCGGCGGTATTTAAGTTTTTAATTTATTAATACACCACTGTTTCTTTAGAAGTGTTGGGTACTTTCGTATTATACGGAGGACACTAATTTTACAGCACGCTGCGGCGGTTATGTTAGATTGGGTTAGGCCCTATCATAAATATGTTTGTAGGACTTTCCTCGTTTCGTTATGAATCGAATGATACCAAATGCTTCATACACAGCATTTATATTTATGATAACCTAATTTAACATAACCGTCGCAGCTTGCTGTAAAAGGGTGGCCTCCGTATAATACAAAAGTACCAAGTGTTGTTTAGTGCTAATAATAAACTATAAATTCGGTTAAAAATATTTCTACAAAGGTGAGGTGGTAAGTTTTGAACAGAGAGTTGAGTTCATACTTACAAGTACGGTAGGCCTACACATCGGTCAATCTGACCGTTGGGAATTTTACGATTTCATATTGCCAACACTGATTAGTGTTTGTGCTTACCACTCGTAACAATACCTTCCTCCCTACCCCTCCCTGACCCTCCGGTAGAATATCGATAGGTTTTACCCAGACGAGTGTCTAGGGCGGACGTTTTTTGTTCCGCTGGTCGGTCAGATTTACCGGGTGTGTTCTATACTGTTACCCTGCTGTCGGTCAAAGTGACGTTTGTGTTCTATAACATTAGACTATATTGAATCTATATTCATCTTTTGTAGTGATATAGTTACATTTTCCGGGTTGTCTTATCAGCATACAAACGCAATATACTTTGTAAACACTAAATAGTTAGTATTAGTTCTGTGTATATTTTTAAGTAAAATGGACCGACTTACTACAAGTAAGTCTTGTAGTACATCATGAGCACGGAAAGTGGATGATCCAGATTTTGATGAACTAGTACGTAGGATATTAGAGGGAGGTGAGGACAACCCAGATGAAGTCGATGATGTTGGCTCAATATTGGACAACTCAGACGCTTACCCTGACTACGTGATGCGTTAAAGTTAGGAAGAGAATTCTTGTAGTAAATAGTATAGTAATAGTAAATAGTTTGTAACTCATTGATGTGACTTTGGAAATGATTGTTGATGGGCGAGAAGTTAATTGACTTACTTGGCTAATAAGTGAGGGCCGGGAATGAGAATAAAAAAAAAACAAGAGTTACTAAATGAATTTACAATTTATTAATAAAAAGAGAAAAGATAAACTCGATCAAACAAATAAAATAATAATATATATATATTGAATACAATTTAAAACAAGGGGAAATGAACCAGCACAGTGAATAATCAAATTAGGAAGGTAAATAAAACTTTATCTTAACAAATAAATTGGTAATTAGAGTTTAATACAATTAAAAATGTAAAAAAATAAAAAAATATTAATTATTGTTTAAATTCAAGAAAGCAATTTATGATTGAATTTAAAAAAAAAATTTATAAATTAAACCTCTATAACCTTAGATCATTTATCCCTGAGTAAGCGAGCAGGACTTACACTTTTAGTTTAGTAAATTACAAAATTAACATACTTGATGGGTTTTTTGCACTGCACACTTCACTGACGAATTTTAATCTGCTTTTAAAGGCAACCGGCCATTTTAAAAAGAACACTACACACACGAATCACTCACGACCGAAAACTTCAACTCCCAACCGCGGTGACCGGACCGAAGACTTCCTGGAGACTGTCCACTATTGGTCTTTGTAGGAATTGACGTCCTCCTATCCTATCCTATAGGGACAGCCAATCAGAGGGTGTGATCGTTGGATAATCTTCTCTGATTGGTTGAGCCAGTCCACGTGGACTTGATGTGGCGATGTCAAAAAGTTCACAGCTTGCAGATTGTCTTCTGTCTCTCTCCACGATGGATGCATCGGTAACTGAATGTTACACCACCTTGTGACATGAAATGTATAGACGGACGGGAATACATGGATAGGATTTTTAAGATCAATGGAAGTACATGATGTGGTTACAAGTTAATAGTAGTAAAATGTAAATAGTATTTCATAGGTAATTGTCAATTAACTGTATTTGTTAATGTAAATGTTTGTTTCTTAATACAAAATGTAAATCTTCATCATAAACAAATCTCAAAAGTAGTAAAAGTAGTATTTTTCATGGTTATATTTTTAATAAATATTTTTTAGTTAACGTTAAATAAACAGTATTTAAATGTTTATTTGACTTTTTTACCTTAATACACATTTTAAACCATTAAAAAGGTTAAATTGCACAAAACGGTCAATATGACCGGATGTGTTCTTTCACGTTATAACAAACATGTGTTCAATTATAAGTGTTAAAGCTGCTAGGCCGCCAAACCCCGATTTAGTTATTACACGGAAAGGATTTATGTTTGAATACTAACCAGCCAGAACCTTTGGGGTGTCCGTCTTGTAGGAGAGCCGGCGATGAACTGACTTCTGCTCCGGTGTGGGGCTTGTATTTATACGCGGCCGTTCGCGCATGCGCAGAAGGCCTGAAATGGTCAGTTGGGATTCAGATTTTGAGGAGAAAGAATCAGACTATCTTTTAACATGGGGATTTGGTTTTCTGGATAAATTTGAGGTTAGGGTTGTGGTTTCGGGGCAGATACAGATTGAACAGGCTAGATCAGGTTGAATTAGGTAACGTGAGATGACAAAGGGCGACGCAAGGAAAGGGGAATGTTGGATAGGACTTTTTAGGGTGACGTAGGGTAGAGGAAGACGACGCAAGGTACGGGGAAGGTCGGACTAGGGCTTGGAAGGTGACGTAGGGGAGGGGAAGGTGACGTAGGCGAGCGGAAGGTGACGCAAGGTAAGGGGAAGGTCGGAGAAGGCTCTATAGGGCGACGTAGGATAGCGGAAGGCGACGTAAGGAAAGGGGAGTTGAGGGGACTGAGGGACAATTTAATATAACATTTGGGGGAAAACAGACAGGCGTAATTCGGGCACGTTACAGCGTATGTAGGTTTTTAAGTATATGTTTACTGTTTAGGTAGAAACAAACTTCCAACAAGTAGCAGAACGTCAGTTTGTTACGGTCATACCTAATGCTGACGACACTGACCATCTGGCGGTATTCCTCACAGGACAAATATGCTTCCCAGCTGGAGCTGCAGGGTTGAGTAAGTAGGCTTGCCTCTTTTCTCAAAATTATATTTTAAGGCTATTAATGTTTGCTCTATCACCAATCTATAACAACTATAAAAATAGCATATTTAGTTCACTTTCAACTTTTAAATCAACAATTGTTGCTTATGTTGGAAATACCAGTTTTCCCCCTGTTTCTTGATTATATTTTTCGAATCTTGAAACCCTATCACAAAACTTTTACTGACCTGTTCAAGGTTAAAGAAATACAGGTAAGTTAGTATTAAAATGATCACTATGCAATAGAAACAGAAGGAAATCGACTCCTCACCCTGATTATAATAGTATAAATAAGTGACTATTGACCTTAAGAAACTGTACTGTAAGTTGTTCCAGTATTATTACACTTAACAAGTTCGCTGTGGCCCACGAATGGCAGGCGTAGCCCCGGTGCGACGCAGCGTCGAGCGAACCCGTTTGGCTTTCAAATATTTCAGTCTGAAGATAGCAAATGTACGGTAATGTGCTGCGTTACGACAAAATTCGACGTGGTTTGCCTGAAACAATCACAGATAGCTGCACTGTCTGGAACTAGCTGGTTCCATTGTACTACCAATTGAAGAGAGATAGACGGGACAACAAGTTGATTTCTAATCTTGCCAGAAGGGAATTCTACGGGGAAATTTACCATCAACTTACACCACAATAAAGCACCCATTCAGTACTAAACATAAAAGTACCTGTTACTCCCGGTGTGCTGATGTGCAGAAATTGAATGGGATGATCACTCACAGGTACGAGCGTTCAGCGTGGCAAAAAGAAACTAGAGCACTCACCGGTGAGTGGCCCGCAGCGAACGTGTTAAGATGGAGTTCAGAATACAATCTACTTGTTTCATTAGTATTAATTATCTGTTTGCTTCATTGCTGCCAGATTTGTGTTTAACCGGGCTATTAACAATAATAATGACGCCAAAAAAATCAGCGCTTTCAAAAACAAAAGCGCCAAAATGTTCAATTTAGAAACTTTGGAATCTTAAATCCCGTTGATTGAATTTTGAATCCAAAATTTTAAGGATTTGGCACATCACTATATTCTACATTCATTTAAGTGGCTATACACAGGAATAATTGCAGTACTGTAGGTCCTGCAGAGGACTAGCCAAAGTTTTCTCAACATTTTAAAGTGAACAGTTAGGCGGTCGACACACGGGAAGACTGAAACCCAACTAAAGTTGAATCAACTGTTCTGTGACGCGATTACGATTGCAGTTGCATTTGTTAAATCCCCACACGGGCGTGACTGAAATAATTGTAGTTGAGTTGAGACAGTGAATGAGTTCTAATTTTGAATCCATGTGTGTAGCCCCTGAGCTGTTGGACATAATGTAAGACTAAATTACTTACGTAATTCCCGTCACAGCTCAATAAAATATGTCTATTCAGGACATGTTTCGGTGTTAAAACACCATCGTCAGCTTCAGGTACATAGTGTAGAGTTGATCAGTTGTTAACATCGTCAGAAGATAAACACAGTACTGACACGAATAAATACATAAAACAATTAAACATTTAAAAAACAGGCCTGTTCTAACAGAGATGACCGACCGCACAGGTAGCAAGGGACAGACTAGCTAGACTAGCCAGACTAGAAGGTAATTTTGGTTTCAATAGATTTTAAATAAATACTTAACCAATATTTTGTTTAATTAAAAAAATTACTAAAGTATTGGTAAAGAATTTATTTAGGCCTAAAGTTGTTGAAATAATAGTTTAGAAAATGTACTTAAGGGAACAAATACACATACAATATCAAACAAAAAGAAATAATTTAATTTTAAACATTTTGCCAACAAAGTAGACATTTTAAAGTGTGATATGTCATCGGTCTCAAGGCTACTTCATGCTTTGGGCCATCCTTCCTCATGGGTGGTGGCACTGCGGCAGCAAACCGTTTTTGCTTACTAGCCAAACATGATTCAGTTAGACTATGTACATCGATGACGGCTGTACATAAACATTACACGTTGGCCTACATATTAATTAACTGTTATCTAGGATAAGGGTGATTAACTTACCCATTTTAATAGTTCAATATGTACACTCCTCTATGAAACAGTTGCAGTAGCAAGGTTATTGTAGGTTGGTTTTACATATTAGTACACTGACTCCCATAGTCCTAAGTATAATAACAGCTGAGTTATTTTTTTTAACTTAGGGGTTAAGTACAGGAAATGCACCCAAATGGAGTGTATAAAGGTGGTAAGTGCTTCACTTGCCCCCTTCATCCACGCAAAGTTTCACTTACACCCTTCATCCATAACTCTTTGTGCTTCACTTGCTCCCTTCATCCATGTAAAGTTTCACTTACCCCCTTCATCCATAACTCTGCGCACTTGTCCCCTGCACTCACCCCCTTATTGTTAGGTTAAGTAGCGTACGTACTGCAGCTAACATCATATCCAGATCAGCTGACAATGAAAATTACCTTAAAACATTTCCTATTTGCATTTTAGTGTGTTTTAAAAATGTATTGGACCGTATTGGACCCACTTAGTACAACGATTTTTAGCTATTCTTTATAGGTAACTGCTTCCAAGAAGTAAAAGATTGTACATGAAAAAAATATTTCTTAGAAAAATTGCAGGGATAAGACTGATTAGCATCTAATAAAAGACAGTTATTACTTGCACATTTAAAAAATATTTAGTATTTTTAATATTGTGGTATTTCTTTTGCATAGCTGGCTTTTAGTTGCCATTTTTTGGACTAAATTACAAGTCAGCACATAAAGTCTATGATAAAGACTAAGTAAGTTGACTTGTTATATTTTATTTTATTTTGGTGCAACAACCTTATTTAAATGTACCTACTTTTGATGGTAACATGTTGAAATAAAGTATTTTTTTTTACCAAAAATAGGTTATTTTAATCGTTTACATCACTTAACCCCTTCTTCCACTACAAAACAATTTTTTTTTTTAAGTTTATAAAGGAGGTAAGTAATAGAAAAGTTAAAATTTTAATAGTAAGGAACATTTCAATTTTTATTAAGTATTGTGCAAAAATTATACATCTCTGCCCTTCCTAATGGCCGTTTTAAGAATGAAAAAAGTTGAAAAATTAAAAAGTTATAACCTGCAAACTTTAAGTCCATTTATCTCAAAAGCAACAAAATGTTACTTTCCCCTTTCATCGACTCACCCCTTCATTTATCAGGTGTTGAGCAAACGTTTATTTTTGTTTGTCGTTTTTCGGGTTCCAATGATGCTCTCTTTGCATGTGCACAAAAACAATGTGTTGTTTTTCCTACATAAAAACTAGGGACAAGGACAACTACCACATTCAATTTTGTATATCCCTGACCTGTCACCCTTATGTAAAGGGAAAAAATACAATCTAAATTAATTAAAATTATTAACAAAAAATTATTTGTTAATAAACACAAACAACTTCCCTTATTGTTAATATATCACCCTTAAATACTTCTCACTAATTTCTTTACAAATTTGATGGTTGTCCCTGGGTTGGAAGAACAAAGAGATTGAAATACTCAACAGAGCGATGGCAGTGGAAGCTTGATGTTAATAAAAAAATTAAAGTGGGCCCTGTAAAATAAAAGTCATTCCCAGAAGTCCTTATGGGAGGGTCTTGATAATTTCTGATATCTGATATCTTCAAAAATGATGGCAATCTTATAACTACACTGGCTTTACTATTGCACTACTATCACCAAAATATTGTGTTGTACCAAAGGTATATTGTTTGTAGTGTAATCTTTGGATTGAGACTCTCAGAATACCTGATTTAATTGAAAATGAAGCTAGATGTAGGAAATATAATAACAAGGATAAATGAAAATCAGAGAATTGAAAATAATATCAGAATATAATGATTTTGACTTTATACAATATCAACTTAATACACCTAAACTTTATATAATTTCAGGAAGAGATTTGTTACAGATTATTGCTGTCTAAAACCTATGTATCTATTGAAATGGAATAAAAACCCTAGTTGCGGCCGCACGACGACGGTGATAAAAGGGGCAGAAGGTGCAACTATTTAATGTTTGAGACACTCAACGCCCAAAGTCCTGTTGTTTGACTGGCCAGTACAAAAATAAATTCTTGCAGAGTCGATATTGAAGACAGCTGTTTGTGCCAGCTAGGCTGGACACAATAATCCTGGTTAAGCATTATGATAAAAGGAACGTTTGATTAAGATTTACTGGCGTTATGAGGGAGCTGTCTATCAGCAATTTCACACCTCCACTACCCAATATCACCGCCTGACGTCAACCAGCAAACTATCCCCTTCTTTACGTTAATCATCCCAAATCAGTTTTAGTGACAATCTGTATTATTTTAATATTTGAACTCTTTGGTTTGGTGAATGAACAGTGATATCTTATGTGACTTAAAACTTAAAGGCCACGTGACAGTAAAATAATCCTATTGTTTAAATTTACAGAACTATTGAGAATATTGATATATCAATGTTTAAATACTTGCTATTAATACAAATTAAATGGATTCAATTGGATTCAAATGACTAGATGAAATTGCAAAGTCTAACTAACATGTGTTACAAAACAGGGAACAACAATGCCAAACCTGCACGAACCACTATTTGAAACAACTCAACTAACAAATAAATTACAAATTACTTACAATTATGTCCGGACAACACAACACTTAGGACATACACATATTGGGCAAGCCTCTGATTCTGTGAAATTGATTTAACTTTTGAAAATTGCTGCGTTCACGTAAAATTCCAAATGCGGTTTGTACTAGCAGGGATTCGATGAAATTGTTTCTTTTTCCGATTTAAACAGTTTTGATTTTGAATGCAATACAAATATATCCCTTTGGGATATATGCTAAAGCGGGTAACGAAGATAAAAAATTGGACCTGATTAGAACCGCGACTTTGATTAATTTAGCACGAGACGCGGCAGTGGCTTACCCAAAACGACGTCTTACAATCACTCCTCGACTACAACAGACAGACAGACGGTCAGTCCTGGTCTCCGAGTTTGTGGACAACGATATTGCATGGAATTCTGGGTCAACGGCTGGTCAGCTGATCAATGTTTTCGCGCGGGATTTGAATTTGACACCTCAATTCCTTCAAATTCGGTACACTTATCAATAACCTTTTTAGAACATTAAGTTTGTTTATAGTGTTGTTATTTGTCCTTAAATCTAACTCTATTCTGTGTTTCATTAGTTCTTTGGCTAATCCATGATGTAACGAATAAGAATATTCTACACATATATATTTCTTATCTCATGGCACTTCATTACCATTTTTATTTCTATTTTATTTGATGATGATAAAACAGCCCTAACATTTGTTACTCTGCAGGAGCTGGTAATATTTTGATTTGGTTATAGAACCAGTTCGGGGGCTAGAAAATATGGATAGTAATGCTCTTTTTATCCTCCATAAGCTTGAGTATAATTATATAGTATTAATTATATTTAATACTAGACACATATATAGTATCGTATTAATTACATAGTATCGTATTAACTATATAGTATCGTAACACATTTTCACTGAATTATAAATCCAATTTGAGTGTTTTTATCTGACGTATTTCCTAGGATGTATAGGCCTACTTGTTCAAAAGCTGTTTCAATTGTATGTTTCAGTTTACTTCAGTTGCCCGGACCCAAATGCCCCACCCAATTGGCAATTGTTGGGGTACATTTCAAATGATAAGCCGTCTTCAGTTTTTAAAATAACGGGATTGAAGAACAACGTTATTGAACAAAGTGGCTTCCTACAGTTCGCTCAACAGGCAATTTCGCATAACGCCCAAATAGGCATATCAGTTGAGCCGATCGAAGTCGTCCAGCAACAGATAATACAATTGGAAAATAGTAAACCTAACGAAGCAAGCAACTTCCTTGAATTTACAAAAAAGATGCTTGAGAACTTTTCTGAGTGTGTTTCTTCGTTTCTTGTGCCAGGCAGTCCGTTTGTAGTACCACTCAGTGTAGTAGACAATTGGTACAAAAACTTTGAAAAGAGATTAGAAATGAATCCTCGATTCTGGAAATGATAGACGTACTGTCTTCTGCTGTGATACTTCAAAATGTGACTGAGAGTTTTTAAGACTGTCCACATTGTGCCTAGTGCATACGATTTAAAACGTTTATTTTGTATTATTTGTTTTTGTTTTTTTTGTAAATATTACTAAGTTTTAAGTGAGCTATGAAATGCCAAATAATAATACCTATAGCTCTAGGACTATTGCATGCAAACTCTCCTTGAGGTTTGAGTTATTGTAAGAAATGCTAAAAATTGGGAGAGAAATTGAGCCACTAGCTTGTAATTTTACATATTGAAATACTTACATTTACATTTTAATTTTAAATTACTTTGCTTTTTAATGAATTAAACAAAAAATAAATTAAAATATAAATGTATAGTACAATGCAAAAGTAGTTTAATTTAGTTTTGTTATTAATTTCTGTTTTGTTAAAATCAATAATCATATTATATTATTCATTCAAAATTATGAACAAATCTGCAATTTAGAAATTGAGGTATTTAATGTCTTTGTATTCCAGTTTAGATACTTACTAAAAAATTTCTTTTCCATTCAAAACTGTGCTATGTGATTTTGCCAGTAAAACTTTAATTAATTAATCCTGTGTTGATTTACACTTTTCCTATCTGAGAAAAATGTATTTGCAGGACAATCTTCAAGTGTATTGGGCATTATTTTATCTTGCGATGGCAGTGTCTTGATGTTTGAATTTGAGCTTCACATTCAGTTAATCAAAACCATGTAGGTTTACGTGATGGTTGCCAGGTTCTTGAACGGTATGACCCAATGAACATTTCGCCACCTGTTTGGCATGATTAGGAGCAAAGTTTATATATTTACATTTTTGTTTACACGAAAACTAAATTATTCATTTATATTTAGTAGGCTGACTGTGTATGGCAGGAGTGTATGAGCAGACCGAGGACTACACACTTGCTACTTTCTGACTGTTGAACCGTCCTGGTATTGGCTTGAAGTTTGGTTGGAGAGTGAGGGGATTGGGATAAGGTACAAAAACCTGGTGACCATTCAGGAAACCTACATGTGTAATTGTTCTTATTGTTCTTAATTCTGTGAATCCTACACCCAATCAAAACCATTGACTATAAATACTAAAGACTCCTAGAAATACAGGGTGGTGTGTGAAAAACATGTTCTACATTGTGAGGAATAAAACTTAGTACTTACCTCTTTGCTCTTGATTGCAGCGCCATCATCATGCAGTTCATGGATAGTGGTTAGTTTTGAATACATGAAACTTACTAATATGCTGCCAGGTGTGGTGCAGGTACTGCCTCCGTTCCTGTCAGTAGTCACAGTCTTGGCCCTACTAGCTGGTCTCGGCGGTGTGATTTAGGGTCTGGGCCCGGGTTGGTGCGCGCGACCCCACATGTTGTTTCCATGATACACGTTGATTCAGGAAGATATGGCAAATCTTTGACAATTTATTTTACATATTCTAAATAAGAATAAAGTTAATATAGACACTTTATTATTGAATGTGGGAACGCTGCGCAACAGAGTTTTACAGGGGCAGAGTAACAGCTTTGACTATTAATAAAACAACTAGACATTCCATCCCCATGTTAAAGTTGTAAGGTGCATTGTCCCTGAAGCGACTCTTGCGATGGTAGCTGAGCGATAGTAGCTCAGCGATAGTAGTTGAGCACTGGTTAGCGTTGTTTCAAATGGGACCATTGTCCTTGACGCGACTGCGACTGGAGCGGCTAGCAGCTGAACACAGCGACTGTAGCGGGTCTGCTCTGAGGGGAGTCAGAGTCGCAGTCGCTGAGCGATTTGTGTTGTGCGTAGACTTGTTTATTGGTCGTAATATCTTCAAAGAATACAAAACTGTTTTCTACCCCTGAAGAATATGAAAAGCTGTTAGTACAGAATAAGTACGGTATTGAATAAATACTTGAAGATTTAAAATGTGGGGCGCATGATAATTTAGAATTATCTTTACCTATTGAACTATTATTATCCATTGCATGCTCCCCACGTTTTTCGTTTTAAATCTTAGAAGTATTTATTCTCTCCACATATTTATAAATTATTTTTACTTTTGAGTGTGTTTAAAAACGTATTATTTTTAAAAATTATTTTTATTTATAATTATATTCTACTAATTTTAGAAATAATTTTATTATTTACAGCTGGCTTCAATTGATATATTTATTTAGGCCTACATTCTTCCAAAATGTAAACATGAAAAATTCGGAAGCCCATGGAGCTTAGCCCAAGGGAAATATGAAAATTAAATGATATAATATTGCATTGTCATCCATTTGTGAGCTATGTTTCAAGTTTCAATTCTCTAGCTCATCGGGAAGTTAGTTATTGATTGCAAAGTTTGTACCGGACAAGAAAGTGAGCTAATAAAAACGTTTTAAAATTAGCTGGTGTCATGGCACTCATGGCACCAATTCACTCGAAAAGTCAGCAAAATGAACAAAATCGCTCTAGAACAATCGCTTCAGGGACAATGACATGGTTAGCTACTATCGCTGAGCTACTATCGCTCAGCTACTGTCTAAGATTGGATGAGTATGAACTGAGATATGGCAATTTTAGTGATACGTGACCGCTGGAGGTTAGTTGCAGCGCATGCTGAAAGCGGTCACGTATCACACATAATAATTTAGCATTACTGTGATATGCTACAAGTTAAGTTTTTTCAAATAATAAAAATTCACAAAAATTAAATTTTAGAAAATGTAAAAAATGCCTATTTTTCAAAATTTTCAAACAGCAACATATGTCAAGTGCACATAATTTTATAGGTTTTTTAATTCTTAACAACTTTGTTATTTACACTTACAGTACGTCGTATCTCTTTTAGTTTTTAGCGAATTTAGGGAATAAGCTACTACCGTAGTACTCATGGTAAGACCTGGACCCGGGACCGATTTACTTTTTCGTTTTGAGGTCCCTAGAGACCAAAAACACCATCCGTTCAAATTCATATATATATATATATATATATTTTTAACATGTGTCCGTTAGCGCGATAACTCAAGCATAAGTCATCCGATTTTGATGAAATTTGGTACAAACGTGTAAACCTACGTTTATTCGAACGAGTTCGCGAACCAGCACGATCGGACTATGGGAACAGGGGTTTATGGGGGGTTTTATGGGATAAAAATTGGTTTTTCCCATTTTTTATCCTAAAAACTTAAAATTTAGCAATTTCTTTCAAAACCATTTTGTAGAGCTTAAAAAAACAAATAATTTAGTATATTGAAGCGTTAATATGCGCCTAATGGTTACGGAAAAAATTCAAAAAATCTGTAAATTTATAATACCCATGTTATTCTTATGGAGAATAAGTAAACCGTTGTAGATTGCTTGTTTATGAACATATTTTGATCAAATTTGGAAAATGCATTAATTTCATACTAAAATATTACATTTTACAAAAAAACACCATTTTACCCTCCCTGTTGCAGCAAACCTAAGTACTCGTTAAACTAATGTTATTTAAATAGAGAATAAAAGTGATACTTTTAAGGAGACATTTTAGTGTAAATCCAATCAGCAAATGGAAATTCGCTTAGTCTGCAGGTATGCTGCAGCGGGGGTATTGTGTAAATAACAAAAAAACACCATTTTACTATATCAAATGCATGTTATTTGGGTTTAACAATAATGGCCCTATTTCATTTAGTGTTAAACCAACATAACATCATTTGTAACGGAAAAGGATAATTATTGATTTCTGTTTTAGCCAAAATATTTGTCGACTAAATACCTTTCAAATGACGTATAACATGACATATGTTTACATTTGAAAATTCCGAGATTCGTACTAGTGACCCTCAGTTTTTGGCACACCCTGTATTGGAATTAAATATTTTTACGTTAATCCTTGGGGTCGATTTAGTGGAAACTAATTTTATTTAATCCTTGTACGTTAAGCCATTTTTCCTTAATCAATTTGAGACACCTTACGTGGGACACCCTGTATATAGATATGACCTCAGTTACTCTGTAAAGCTGTCATTTCCCTGAGAGGCATCCGTAAATTAATACATTTTTATTTATTTATGATTTTTTTAACACTCAACAGTAAATAGCAAGGTAGCAAGTTATTTTGGCATACCTACTTTTAAGCTTAAGATGTTGCGAAGAAAAATCTTTGTGAATGTGGTTAGAGTTGTTCCAATGTGAGGATCAATAATTGAGGGAAGTGAATTGGTCTAGTGGTAGAGCACGGGGCTTCCAAGTCTGAGGTTCCGGGTTCAAATCCTGCCAATCACCAATGGATCTTATCTATGCAATAATGCTACAACCCTCTAGGACTAGCCTGAAGTAATATGTAAAACAGTTTTGGGTTAGAAGCTAGCGTCCTAGGATGTGAAGATAGGACGGAAAAAAGAATGTAAGGATTAAGAAACCCTCGAACATTTTAGTTTAGGTACACCTATTTTACAAAATTTCGTTCAATTGTCAGGTAAAGCTATCTAACAATTGAGATTAACAATTTGAGATTGTTGGGTTTTCATTCAACAACTTCTAGTTATTGCTCTTTTAATAAATTTTATCTCAAACTTGAGTATTTGTTCAAGTTCCTCAGATATACCAGGCATTAAAAGTTTAACATTTAACTATTGCCTAATTATTTGCCGTTCTGGTAAACTAAATCCCTTTGTTTATCTGAGGCTGTAATATGAAACATTTCAATGGCTACCTAAAAATTGCTTCTCGTCTTCATGCCACATGGTGCCTTTTTATGGAGAATTTGCAAAAAACACTGACCTTTGACTAATTTAATTTAATAATTATCCACTTTTCAAATTTTTGATAATTAATAAATAGAAAATATGATTTTCTTGTTAACCAATGTAAGATGTCCACTCCCGTGTATCTACAACCCTTGGCTAAACACTGGAAAATATAACACAGACAAACAATTAATATTTTTATTTTGTTAGAAATATCCTTCAAAATTCAATTTACATAGGAAGTCATTATTACAGACAATTAATTTTAATAGTTTGGTTTTCATAAAAAAAAAAACTAGACACAATTTTGAAATCCCTAAATACTGTTGTAAGAGTCAAATGAGAAAACTTAAAAAGTATAATACAAGTATGAACAAAAATATTTATGTTGATTATACAACATCCATAGCTGGATCAAATTTGGCTTTAAACTAATACAAGGGTCAATTAACAATATGGGACTATCCTAAGGGGCGCCTTAGTTACAATTTATAAACATTAAAATTCCTTTTAAAAGTTTCAATTACAGAGTAAGCCTTATGTCATGATAGCAACGATTGCATTGCACATGGCCGGTGGTCTAAAAGAAACAGGAATGCAGTTATTTGTTAGTTGGAAATTTCTGTTAGTACGCTGTATCTTGTATATGTCTTTACAGTTTATAAAAACTATTTTGCTTACTCGATTAGTGAATCATTCACACTTAGTACAAAATATAACATACAGTACATCATTTTATAAGATGGCTATTGATGGATTAATCTTCGTCCAAGCATTGGTTAAAATATTATCAAAACGTTAAGAGATTGTTAATGGGTTCAAACT